AGCAGGAATTTTGTTGCAAGTTCAGTGAGCAGAGACACTCACGTGATGAGAGGGACACAAAGACAAGAGCTGAGCTACCTGAGCCCCGAGCACGTGCTGACAGCAACCACAGAATCCAGGCTCCCCTCCACATATCCCTGATAATGGCAGTGATCCTACAGGAGAGAAGAAGGGCACATTACACACACATCCCACGTGTGCCTGCACACCCAGTGTCACCCCTGGCCCTGTAATTGCTGTGCCTGTCACTGATCAGCAGCAGTCACAACTCAACAACATAGTATGATTTAAGTTAAATCACCACATGCATTTTATCTACAGTCTTATCACTTCCAACATGCCTCTAGCACTATACAACAGCATTTCCTTCACTAATATGCACCTAAAAATTTCCTCACCTGCCTTAGTGACACAAGGACTGACATATACAAAGCTAATCAAGATGCCAGGGGCACAACTGGCTCCTTCCCTCCCTACCTAGTAAAGCAGATGCTCTTCACAACTGGATAGGGCCAGCAGCTTGTTACACATTTCAGTTTAAAATCCCACTGTCACTGTGCCTGGAGCCTGACCCAGAACTGGCACTGCCAGCTGTGAGCCCCACAGCTGGGCTCAGAGGCACCATCTACCCCTGCACCTCTGAACTTGACTGCAAGCATTCTGCTCTTAACTTCTGTCCTCCACCCTGCCTCAAATATTTCATGTGCAGCCCCTCCCTACAGCTTTGAGCCAAATCACCATTCTATCTCCTAGAAAACAGCCTGGCAGGATGTCTGACTCCAGGACTCCCTGCTCCCTCCAGCAGGGAGAGGACAAGCCCTGCTGCCCTCAGCGCAGGCACTGCCAGCTGCTCACTTGTGCAGCACATCCCTCCTCAGCCCCTGCAAGACAGAACACTTCCATTTTGCCCTCTGGAGATGCACATTTCAGAAACGAGACAAGGGTTTGTCAGGTGGGGCAAATACACTCCACGTTCTCTGCAAAGTGCATTTTTGAATGTTATGAGGGTCAGGTAGATGATGTGGCCTGTTGCTCCAGCGACCAACACAGAGCACTGGAGGCAAAGTGCTCACCCTTCAGGGCCTCTGGGACTGACACAGCCTTGTGCAGAAAGAGCATTTTTCCCCTTAGTCAGTCACTTTTAACCAGGAAGTGAATACCCAGTTGGGTCAGGTGCTCTATTCAAAACCAAGATCCCATGAATCACATGTGACTAACACTTCCCTTTCAAAGGAACAACAGTGATACATAGGAAGAGCAAAGCCATTAGGAATACTTTCCTGCTTTTTGTACTGCACAAGCTGCTTTTTAGTCTTACTCTACAGAAGAAATTAAGTTTTCAAAGGCAATCTACCAGGCAGCCTGCTCATACAGAAAAACAGGGGAGTAACTCCAGTGCTATGCAGATAATATCCTTCTCAAAGGTCCTCCAGACTTCATCTCATCCATCCTTTCCAGCAGTTCCCAAAATTCTGGACTAATGGTTAGCCTGACAAAAATCCTGAGAGTCACTTAGACAGCCTCACACAACTGAAAAGATGGGTCAGCAGCTGACTGTTCATTTTGACTTGTGGACCAGTGTGGAAGCCCACTGTGTGTACAAGCACAACCCACATTCAGTCCCCAGATCCCCCAGCAAAAAATACAACTAATTTTGTAACACATCACTCCCTCATCCTGTAGATGCTCAGTGTTCCAAGTCACCTTCAGTAAGGGTATAAAAGGAAAGAAATCCTACCTGGACATCTGGATATTCAGATTGCAACTTCCCCTCCTTATTATAGGTATAAACAATGAAATCTTTGGGCAGCAGTTCTCTGAAGGGAAAGGAGAGAGGAAGACAAGAAGGATTTAATGAAATGACTGTGACACTATAGCAGGACAGTAAGATGATCCTAATCAGAAGTGTCACAAATACGTAAATTGCAATTAAATAAGGAAATATTTAAAAGGAAAATCTCCTCCAAAAAAAGAAAGAAATTGTGCATTTTGACAGCAAAACCCCAGATATAAGAATGGCAGAACTGTTAATGAAATTAAGTCAACTGCCTCACCCTGGATAAGTAAAATAAGCATCAAAACCCACTGAATTGTGCTACAAGCCTGCCCCATGCAGAAAAAAAACATAAATCAAATCACAGCACTCGGTCTGCTGCATATGCCTTCTCTTCCCCAGCTTTGGAAGGAAGTGCATGGGAAGTCTCCCACGCCTCAAGAGTGCTGATCCATACTGGTCAATCCCTTGATGCTGCATAACTGAATTCCCAGATTTCCAAGGGTCATGGGCTTGGCAAGTGGTAGCTGAGATCCCCAGGGGCTGGTACATTTAAATAGTTCTGTCTCATTTGGCAATCATGGGCAACTTTAAGCAGCAATAGCCTGAGAGATGGTAACTTGCTGTTGCTGCAAGCAGCCCTTTAAAATTAAAGTCAAGTCAGACAACATCTACATTGTCTGTAAATTATGGGTATGAAGGCCTTGGACATAAAGTCAGTTTCTTCTTTTCATAGAATCATAGAATCTTAGGGGTTGGAAGGGACCTTGAAAGATCATCTAGTCCAACCCCCCCTGCCAGAGCAGGGTCACCTAGAGTACATCACACAGGAACTCATCCAGGTGGGTTTTGAATGTCTCCAGTGAAGGAGACTCCACAACCTCCCTGGGCAGCCTGGCCCAGGGCTCTGTCACTCTTACAGTAAAAAAATGTTTTCGGATATTCACCTTGAACCTCCTATGCTCCAATTTACACCCATTACCCCTTGTCCTATCACTGGTCATCACTGAGAAAAGCCTAACTCCATCTCCCTGACACTCACCCCTTACATATTTGTAAACATTGATGAGGTCACCCCTCAGTCTCCTTTTCTCCAAGCTAAAGAGACCCAGCTCCCTCAGCCTTTCCTCATAAGGGAGATGTTCCACTCCCTTCATCATCTTTGTAGCTCTGCGCTGGACTCTTTCAAGCAGATGTATTAGTATTCTTGTGCTGCTGAGACAGGAAAAAAACACAACCCTAAAACAATAAATAAAACCCAGAGGAAAGTGAAAATATTTACTTGAAATATAGTTCAGTTTGTTTATTTTTAGATGTGAATGGAGAGAGTAATTTCACTGATTCCCCAGATCCTCTTTGAGCAAAACTGCTGCTTCCTCCAGTGCACGGGATCACCAGGGCTGCTGGAGCTCATCAAAGCTCCTGGCCAAGAGCCAGGACTGTGGGACTGAATCCACTTTTACCACCTGCAGGTTTTGCTGAGCTACCATGTGGCTGCACTTCTCACGGGACCTCAAGGATCAGAACTCATGTGCCACCTGCCAGCTCATTATTGGGATACAAGAGATGGAATTCAATAATCTAAAGAAATACATCACTTACTTGTTCTTTTCTAGATGAATTGTGTGTTCCTTTCCCTCTATCTCAATAGCATATGACACCTTGTCCTGCATTTAAAAAGAAGTTACATTTTACTCACATTAATGAATAATTCATTGAAATAAACAGAAGTTTGGCAGAAAACAGTCCCTGGAGCTCCACTACTGCCACAACTATGACACTCAGATCACCACTGTCACCTCCCACAGCTCTGAACCAGTCTGGCCTGTTCTCCTGCTGGAGCTGCAGCTCAAACTACCACTTGAACCATCTCCTGGAGGGATGCAGAGCTCTGTCTATCTGAGCTTCCTCTCCCATCACATTCCCTGCTGGTGTCCCAAGGCTGCCCAGGGCAGTGGGTGCTCCTTGTGCTCCTACCTGACTCCACAATGAGAGGCAGTGAGATGGCTCCATCAGGATTTGCTCTAGTTCCTGCCATCCAGCAGCCAAAACGACTGCCATGTCCACACATTGACATTGTCAGATACTGAACCAATAAACATCTCTTGCTGGAACCTTTCTGGTTCCATCAGGCCAGGAATAACCACATGTGGGTGAGATTGAAGCCTATAATGGCCCCTGTGTCCAGAACCTGGCATCTCTTCCTGGGTAACTGGGGAAAAGTCACATGAAGGAAGCTAATTCAGAATATATTTGTGGTTTTCTTATTGCTTGTTTCTAAGTCTTCCAGAGAAAAACTCTTAATCACAGCTAGAAATGAAAACAGTTTTATTACTGAACATGCATGGTGAGCCAGCAGCTCCACAGCCCTGCACTCACCAAGTGCCTCACACAGCAACCAGGTCCTGACAATTCAGTGGATAAGCTGAATCTCCTGACCACATTAAACACCACAGCAGGAGTTCTAGTCAACGACTGCAATAACCTGAAAGGCATCCTTGTTCATACTGAACTCTGCCAATGTTTGTAAGATTTGTGACTAATCAGTTAGTCTAATCCAAATGCTTTCAAGTGTGCAGACCCCAGTGACATGGCTCGAGCAGAGTCATACAGGCTGGAAAGTACCTGTGCAGGGTGTCTATTGTGACCCCAAGCTCAAAGCAAGGCTGGTCAAGAGTTGGCCCAGGCTGCTCAGGGCCTCCTCCAGTCAGATTTTGAGCATCTCCCATGATTATGATTCTACCACCTCTCCAAAACTCATCCCAGTGCTTAACAACTCGCATCATGCAGCTTTTACACCTGGATCAAAAATCCATTGTGGCAACTTTAACCTCAGGAGAGCAGGGAGGTATTGACTGTAACCCAACTAGAGGCAATGCCAGAGGCAACACCTTCTGTAAGGATGGATACTTGTTTGCTGCAGGACAAGAGAATTTTGGGTCAGTTTTGGGTGAACCTCATTAAGAAGTAGATACTAAACTGAAGGCATTGTTCAGACTGCCCAGTACCTGCACTGAGGAGACATTGGAAGCCTCTCGCCGGTCTCTTCCCAACCTCTGTGGGATCACAACTTCATAGGAAGACAACAGGGAAACCTGCTGGAAACCTAGGAAGCAGAACAGAAACACTGGCTAAGGAAACAAAGCAATTAGAAGGATAAGGCACAAGAAAGAAAATTATATTTCAGGAAAAGCCCTTCAGTAGGAAAGGGCAGCCTGCAATTCCAGTTCAGGCCTCCAGCTTATCACAGACCCTGAAACTGGGCTGCTGGGCCCAAGGCCCTGCTGCACACAGGAGAGCAGAGCAAAGCACACCTGGATTGCCTTGTAAAAGGCCAGAGAAAACACACACACAGCAGAGGTTTACCAGAAGGTTTCAAATTGGAAGCTCCACATTCCAGTTGCTGCCTGACAAGTATCCATTTCACCACCACCTTTCATCAGCAGGAATCACGGCATTTAACAAAGCAGGTCAGCACAGAGAGAACATTTTCAAGGACACACAGAAAGACAGCGTCAAAACCAGGTGTCCTGTACTGCAAAGCTGCAGAATGGCAGGAGCAGGTGGGCCACCTGCTCCAGAAGAGCTCCCAGGCTCCAGAGGAGCTCCCAGGCCCCCAGAGCCCCTCACTGCCTCCCGGCACGCAGCCAGTCCTGCAGAGCTCAGCACGATGCCCTGGCCCTGCACAGCACATCCAGACTCCTGACACAAGGCCAGGACCACTCGTTATGTTCTTAGAGAGCTCTAAAGGACCTTGTTCCACATCATTTGTTTTTATAAACACATGCAACAAAGTGGCCTTTTGCAGATCACTTTATAGATGATTTGCATATGCAACATCAGACAGATCCTCTGCACTAAACAGAAGCCTACGGTCCAAGTTTCCTTTATAAGGCATCAGTTTTTGCCAGCAACTGCTCCAGATCGACTGTGTAAACAGTAATACATTGCACATGTAAGTGACTTTTCCCATCAACAGCCGCTGTCTGCTGGTGCCTGGCTCGGGTGCTGCTCCCTTGGGAAGCAGGAGGTTGGCTGCCTGGGCTTGCAGGCAGGATTAAGAGCAGCAGTTTTCCTAGCTCATGGCAATGGAATCAGTGAGCTCATCGGAGCAGCCTGAGCTTCCCCACCTTGCATCCCGCAGAGCTGCGGCTCCTGCACTGCTTCCAGCCGTGCCCTAAAGGGGAAGTGAAAGCAGCTCGATTGCTCTCAACTCCTCTCCTGTCACAGCACGTTTGTCCCCCTCGGAGAACACAGATGCCCTGCAGTGCCCCTTCCTGTAACACAGGACGAGTGTCCCACAGGCAGAGTTGTGCTGCTTCTCAAGAAATAACATCACACTTATGCCACAGCAGAACTTTCATTAATTACAGTGACTGTTAAAAAAAGGTAATTAAAAAGCAGAGATAAACTTCCTGAAAATAGCCCTTGTGTTGACAGGCTACAGAAAGCAGAGTGAATAAATACCTCCTTGGCCCAAAAACAGGGGAGGGAAGGGCTGCTTCCTTCCCTGGGACGAACCACCACAAGAGCACACTCAGGCAAATCACTTCTCTCCATGTGTCATTTCCAAACACACACTTTGCTTGTGTCTGGTCCTGAGCTCCTGCACTTCATAGCTCTGTGCCTGTTACTTCCCCACTGCTGCCCAGAAGTGCCTGCAGGGATGGGACTCTGTGACATTTGGGCAGTTTTGGAGACTCCCTCAGGACAGAGAAACATCAGGGCTTGGTTAATCTTCATGGTGCTCAGAAACCAACATGCTTCCCCCAAAGCAGCTTGGAAGCAGAAGACAAAGGAGTGAATCATCATACAAAGCTAGCAAAGCTGGGAGGGATTTCTGGGAAGAGCGCAGCTCTGAGGTTTGTTCTTACAGAAGCAGCACAGAAAGAGCATAATCTTCAACTCTCTGAACAGCTCTGCCCCCACTTTCTGCTCTCCTTCCATCCCTCACCATCCCCAGTTTGGAAGCTGGTTTCAGGTACAATGCCTTATTCTTCTCTTCCCTTTATTCCCTAATGTGGGCACAATCCACCAGAGGAGGAGGAGGTGTTTGTCTTGCTTAACAAAGTGCTTTCTATGGGCACCAGCTAAACTGTAAGGGCAGGAAGGCACCACCTTTCTTTCTAGAGGAACTTAAGAGAAAAGCAGCCAAGACATCAAAAGTTTGAACTTAAAGCAAATTGCTTCCCTTTAACTTTCAGTTCTCTTTGCCCTTCTGTCAGAAACATCTTCTCTCTCTCCCCACGTTTCAAACAGATCAAACTGACAACACTCCTGCTGATGTGCAGAAGAGATGAGTTTGTTTTGTGGGACTCTCACCAGGACAAAACCACTCAGCAGTGGCTGAAAGCTCAGCACAGCTCTTCCTCAGCACTCCAGGACAAAAACATCCGTCCCAGCAGGAACCTCCATGGCACTCACCCTGGCTTTATGCAGAACCTATTTCCACTGGCCACCTCAGACCCCCACAAGCACCCAGTGCTCCTTCCAGTGACTGACACATTCAGACCTTATCTCGTCCAGGGAAGAAAAGCACACTCAGTCTGACCTAATGAGCACAAGGTGAAACTGCAGCAAGGACAAGGCAATTGGCAGCTACCACAGCAGCCTAGATCACTGCCAGGCCCCAGCAAGCTGTGAAGGCACTATCAGGTATGGTCCTGCAGCCACTTCAGTAGGAAGATGCTAAGATGTCAATATCCATGGGAATTCATCCATGCATTTCAGCACACAGGAAAGGTGATTAATTCATAGCAATTTGGGAAAGACAGAAGTGACAGCAAAAACCAAACCCAGATACTCAGCTGTTTTCCACATAAGATATCTGAAGATATTTATATCCCAGTTTTCCTGTGATATGTTATTTTTTCTAGCTTTGTATTGACCCCTTTTTGATAAAATTCATTGCCCTGTATTAAGCATGGTTCTCAAGCACAGTAGTTAGCAGTAAGTGTTTTCAGCAACTTGCAGGATTTCTTGGATTCAGGTGCTTCCTGCCACTGGCCATGGCTGCAAGCTGAGCTGTCCTACACGTCACCCCTGGGAATGTCCTGCTTATCACCCATGCTTGGGTGTAACTCTAGTTGAGATTGGATTCCAAGGAGAAAAAAAACAATTGCGTCCACTGTATTTACTTCATCTCATTAAAGATTGCCTTTAATTACTAAGCACTGGAAGCAACTAGGAAGATGTGAATCACCTTCCCCTCCCCACCCCAAACCCCCAGCAGGAAATTGCGGCAGGTCCCCCGGGCGCG